TGAGATCACCGATATCGGATGTGTCAGGTGCAACTACGAGGGGCTGAAGAAGAACAAAGGGTGACAAAGAAATGTGGTTCTGACTACTTATTTATACACCTTCCTAACAGGTGCTGATTATATTTTAGAATGTTTGTTTCCTATACACAAGGCATGGTTTATTTTTTAACAAAAAGTTTCAAACAAATGCAGAAAATTGTTTTATATAGACTATTAATTTAAATTTGACCATTAACAAAAGGACAAAACTAGGAAAATATATTGTTAAAAATAATGAATAAATTATTTTATCATTTCTTTTATCTTTTTTAAATTAAATTTATTTTTATATAAAAATATGATATATAAAAATAACTTAATTAATCTAAAAATATACTTATTTAATCATAAAAATAATAAAATATATCCCTAAAAATAATAATATGGTATAAAATAAAAAATAAAAATATAAAAAATAGTTAATTTTATATGTAAGATTTTATAATATATAAATCTTAAAATATATGTAAGATTTTAATTTTATAAACAAAACTATATTAGCCTAATATATAAATAAAATAAAATTATAAGTCAATATTTATTGATACTAAATGTTAAACTTATATAATTACATCTTTTAACAATTTTTTTTTATAGAATGAAAAATTAACAAATCCAGCTGTTGAATCATCATTAGTCGTTGCTGAAAATAATGTATAAATTTGCCAACACAATATTTCTATAAACTTGTTCAAGAAAATAATATAAGATGATACTAAATGTTAAACTTATATAATTACATCTTTTAATAATTTCTTTTATAGAATGAAAAATTGACAAATCCAGCTATTGAATCATCTTATATTATTTTCTTGAACAAGTTTATAGAAATATTGTGTTAGCAAATTTATACATTATTTTCAGCAACAACTAATAAGGAGACACTGGTAGTGGACAATTGACGATTGGGATGAGTCAATAGATATGTGGATTTTCTTAGAAAAGATAATTGCTTTTAGGAGGATTTACAGAGACTGTGGAGGATAAGAGACTAAGGAAAAATGTAAATGACATACTGATGTAGAAGTGTGATGGTATTAAGAAATATAATGTGCAATATGCTTATTACTATATTTATCATTTTTTCATTGTAGGAGTTAGCAGTTTGGAGCTGTATTGACTTACGCAGAATTTGAAAGGTCAATGCATAAAAGAAGGTAGCAGTAATTGTTTGGCATATGCTATTTAATACAGTTCTGATGCGAAGAATTTGACAAAGGATTGGCGATTCACCTAGAAGCTTGTGAGTTATATGACACTAAAGATGAGGACATACTGCATCTTTTTTGCATTGCGGTATCTCTATAAGACTGTGATATATAGTGTTTGAATGATTTTATGTCAATTTATACTTACCTGAAAAATTGTACGAGGCATTAATAAGCATGTGAAAAATTCAATATAGAAAAAAGAAATAGAGGAGAGTTGTAATAATGTGATTTCGATAGTATGAACAATTTGACTTTAATAGAATAATATTCTCTTCAACATCAGTGTGTTAAATGTTAATGAAACATTTGATTTAAGTATCATTTTTGGAAGTGATTTGTAGTAGTGTCATTGGGACTCCTGAATTTATCAATAAAATGTTGATGCTTAAAAAAATTATATTATTTTTTTAATTATGTATATTTATATAATTTAAACATTTATAAGTATGTTATCTAAAATTTGATATTTACTTATATTTTAAAAATATATTACTGTTGAAAAAAATAATGTGATAAAGTATTTAATAATTTTAATTTTTTTATAAAATTGATTAAGTTAATAAAAAAATTTAAACAAATAATAAGATTGTTTAATTTTTTGCTAAAAAAAGGGGCTCAAAAGCCCAAAACAAAAGACAAACTAGGCACAATGCCTAGGACAACCCTGAGCACTAGAGTCCAAATACAAGAAAGGCAACGAAGGGATAAGGAGATCAATAATATGGGAACAAGAAGCTAGGGAATCTAGCCCTAATTTAACTAAAAAATCTGCACATTGATTTGCTTCTATACATATATAAGCAAATCTAACAAATCTAATAGATTTCAAAGCATTTCTAATATTACAAAGTAAAGAAAATAGAGGGTGGGAGGGAAGTTGGACATTCAATACAAGAGTAATTACTTCCTTAGAATCACTCTCAATCCAGATTACTTGAATTTTAGCATAAATAACCATCTGAATACCAAAATAAATTTTTCAAAGCTCAGCAAGGAGAGGAGAGCAAAAACTCAAGCTTCTACTAAACCCAAAACAGAATCTACCATGACAATCTCGAATTAACCCTCCACAGGCAGCCACCCATTACAATTAGAAACAACTTCATCCACATTTAGTATGAATTGATCAGAAGGTGGAGGATTCCATCTAACCATCCCAAAATCAGAAATTAAGTTGGAAAAAGATGTGGAACTGGACCTACCATTAAAAGAAAAATAATCAGCATCATATACAGATTTTTGGGCAACAATATCAGGCTGAGAAATGCAATTTTGAAAAACAAAAATATTTCTAGCATTCCAGATATTCTAAATAATACAACTAAACAAGATAGACCAATTATGGAAGCGAGAGCAGTGAGAGTTAGAGAGATTAGACAGTAACCAGTTGAAAATCCCTGAGCTGAAAAAAGAGATCCACTGATTTGAGAAAATAAAATTATTCCAAACCTTCTTAGCAAAAAAACAATCCCGCAATACATGCATAATAGATTCAGGCCCATCCTCACACCTAGGGCAAGAAGACGACTCAGCCATACCTCTAAGAAACCGCTCCTCATTAGTAAATAATCTACCATGAGCTAATTTCCAAAGAAGAAAAGCAATTTTAGAGGGACCTTTCTACTTCCAAATAATTTTGAACAGGTTAGTCCTACTAGTAGGATGAAGATTAACATTATCCAACATATAATAAGCAAACTTGAGGAAAAATAACCCATTATTGAAACTATTCTAGAAAGCAAAATCAGGCCCTGCAAGTCTAGAAGGGGGGTTAATGGAAGAAATGTGCTTACCTATATAGGTAGGAAGGAGGGAGTAGATTTTATCCCAGTCCCAACTGCCTTAGGCAGCAAACAAAGCAACAGGAGCCTCCAACTCAAGCTCAGTGCTAGGAATAACCACATGATCAAGTAATCTATCAACATGGGGGATCCAATTATCAGTCCAGAATTTAATAGACGTTTCATCCCTAACACACCAGCCTAGACCTTGGGAAAATTCAGGCCAAATGCTCATTAGATTTTTTCATAAATAGGAATGGCTTGAAACTTTCTTAACACCAAAATTCTGATCAGGACTAAAATTGCATTTGTGATAAAGAACTTGAGCCCATAAACCAAAGGGAGAGGGGGCCATCCTCTAGCATAATTTCATCATATAAGCCTTATTAAGTAAATTAAGATTTTTGAATCCCAGGCTACCCTCATTTTTAGGTTAACATATGTATTGCTAGCCAATAAGGTAACATTTCTGCTTACCTAATGACCCCTAAATGAACTTCCTACAAGGACGATTGATCTCATTGTAGATAGAGGAAGGAATTACCAGGGATTGCATGATATATGCAGGAATACTCATCAGACAAGTTTGGGCCAGAGTAACTCTACCAGCCAAAGAAAGGGAGTTCATTTTCCAAAGGGCTAACATTAAGATTGTTTAATTTTGCATTTTAGAAAAACTTATTAAATAATATAAATATTTAAAAATTATGTTAATACATTGTGACTCAAGTTATATATATATATATATATATATATATCACTTCCCATTTTAAGACATGTTGATTCCTTTTATCCTTTCTCTCTCTAGTCGGCTCATTATTATTATTGATAAAATTTAAATTTTATCAAGTTTTAATTTTAATTTCTATATATTTAAAAAATATTAATTTTAGTCATAATGATATAAATAATTTAGATATTGTCATAGTTCAATTTTTGTGCTGCAAGATGCTTTGAGGCCGCGTTAGTGCGAAGAATTAAAATTAAGTATTTTCTAAAATACAGATTAAAATTTTAAAAAATCAAAATTAAATATATTTTGAGAAACAAAAGATATATTTAACCTAATGCTACTACTAATAATAATAAATGTCGTAAGTTCACTAGTTATATAAATTTTAAAGCAAATTTAATGATATAAAAATATATAAATTTTCATTTGTAAAATATTTTCATACTAATGAAAATGAAATTTAGTATAGAATTCTTAAGGGTTTGTTTGGAAACATTTTGTGTTTTTATTTTTAATTACAAAATTGCTACCTTGTTTTTTTTTTTTTTTCCTATTTTCTAAGATTTGTAAACAAACAGTGAAAATAAAATAAAATTGTTTTCAATTTTTCCTGTTAAAGTATTTAAAAACAAAAAATAAAAACAAAACATTTTCTAAACCAAACAGCCAATGTTGAGAATGGAGTAGGAAGCAACAAATGTTGAGAATGAATGGAAAATTAAAATGTTGGCACCCGGCATCGTGGATACAAGAACATTTAGTATTTCTTCAACTAAAGTAATATCGATTCTAATTCTACATGAGAAGCTCCAATACACAAACATATGATTAAATAATTTTGGTGCAATACACAATACCAAAACACGAACTGAAGGAGCTTTGGCCTTTTAAACGAGATCTAGAATTCATGAGCATGAAAAAACAAATACCATTGAAAGTAATTCTGCCTTCAACGCTTATCATATACCCAAGAGTTTTTTACCTGCAGCTCCAGTGATAATACTTTAAAACCAAAAAAAGAAAAGAATAAACTAAAACACCAGCTATAATTAATGGTAGCTTCCACAGTTTTATTTTATGTTTTTGTTTATTTTACACTTCCTCCTAACATTAGCACATTGCTAAATAACATACTTATGCCAAAGCATCATATATTATAAAATAGAAAGACATCATGTATTATAAAATAGAAAGAATAGAACAACCTTAAGGCATATGAAAATTATAACACAAGCTTACAAGAGTTAAATTAACATAAATAATCTCTACAAGAGTCGAGAAGCACAGCAATAGCGACAAACGTTAGTTAGTATACAAGTACGAACTGCAACTGAAACAAAGGTAAACAACAAACAAGAATCTAGTCATTCATGCAGCCACAATAAGAGGAAGGGGCAGGAACAGACAGAAGATGCGATTATTGTCTCATTCTTGTCAGCACAAAATGATCCATCACCTTAAGTTCAGTGTTGGCTTCTTCTTCTTTTGCTGTTTTGTCAAAAGAAGGGAGAATCGGGCAAATCCGAATTTCTTTCTCTTTGCAGAAAACGGCTTCTGACCATTTTCTTTCTCAGCTTGCCTGTCAAAGGATGGATCATTGTTTTGTTTGCCAAGCATCTGACCCAGTGACACCTTCCGTTTCATGGAGCTTCTTTCTCTAAGCATCTCAACTTCATACTCTTCTGGGATCATCAACTTCCTGCTTAATATTTGACCTATTGATAGGGTTGGCTTCAGATCCGGCTTGACTTCATTATTTACAAGATCCAACCCATTTACATCAAGTAACCGAGAATCTCTACGATGGTGAGAAGGGTAAGCATTTTTAAACTTGGTATGGTTATGTATAGAGGAACGTCGTTTTTGACCCTCAGACCGCCACTTCCTTAAAGCCTCTTCAACTGCTAGCTTTCCTCTATTTGCAGCCTCTACCCTTTCTAGAGCTTCTTCAAGGGCCTTCTTGCTGGTTTTAACTTCTTCTGTAGCTTCCTCTACCCTTTTCAAAATGTCCATTTTTGATATGTTTGCTTCATCCACTAGAAGCATAGCATCAACAACTCTCTTCTTAGATTGTTCTTCTGCCTCTCGAGCTTTGCAGGTTAGCGCAGTATACTCTTCGAAGGAAAGGGTAACTTCATCGTGATTTTGCATACAATCTCCAGGTGAAGTCTCGGGATGAGACAATGCTTTAATCTCTGCAAGGGCAGCAGCTTCTGCTGCTCTTGCAGCTTCCTTCATTTTTCGGGCAGCGACCAACCTGATTTCAGCAGTGTTTATCATAGCCTTTGTCTGTTCAATCTCAGACATTGCTTTTAAGACTTCTGATTTAGCAGCCTCTCCCATTTTTCTGAAATGCTCTGTCTCGGAACTCAGACGCTGGAGCTCTCTTGTAATATCGGAAGTATCATCTGAACCACCATTACTTCCAGCATCTTTTGCCACTTGCAGTTTTAGTTTTGTTTGGTTTAGCTCCTCCTCAAGAGAACATATTTTTGAAGAATTCTGAGTTAACCTCTCACGGGTTTTCTCAAGCGAGATCCTTTCCTTCTCCAACTTCTTATTGAGCAATTCAACAGAAGCTCGAACGTCAGCAATATCACTTGTAGTTCTGTTCAGATTCAATTTTGCCTGCTTCAATTCCATTAATATTAAACCCGGGGACGATGAAGGATAGGAAACACAACCCTCCTTTGAATGCTGAAGGACACTACTCCCTTGGTTTTCCTTATCTTCTTTCTCATTCTCCTTATTAGACAATATATTGTCACACCCACTCGTCTGAAAATTTAAATTTGCATCAGATTCTTCTTTTTGTAGCTTTGATTTCAAATTTTCCACAAGCCTTTTGGTACTTTCCAATTCTTTCAAGACATCAAGAGTTTCCCTTTCTTTAAGGATCAGCTCTTTCTCCAATCCAGCTGCTTGCTCCTCTAGTTTTCCAGCATCGACCACTTCTGCGAGATGCTGCTTAAATCAAAAGCAAGACTTTCACTGTTTAACTAAATCAATTGCTTAAAAAGAAGTAATTCAAAATAAACATGCACCCACACAAAATGAGCTACTATTAATATCGAATCTACTATGCCAAACTTCATTCTAGTTGGTCGTAATGGGAGATGAGGGAGAACTACTTAGTTCTGCATTAGAAAATAGCTTATCTTGAGAATTATCATTGAAGAGACCTACAAATAAAAAAAAAAACACATAACCGAGGGAATCCATAAGCACTATGAAGATGAAACAACCTTCACTGAAGAAAGATGGGGCTTTTGTTAACATGATGAACGGTTCTTAGCACCTAGATCAAAATAGTAACAATAAATAAATAATTGTTAAGTAAGCTGCACAGTCCTCTACTTCCCACATTTTGATAGCATTCACATCTCACATTTTTGTATTATGTTTTTTAGATAATAGCTCTTCAGATCCAAGCCTCCCTAGTACTCAGCGGAACAAAAACAAACCCTTAAATAAAAACGCATGAACCAAACATAGAGAAACAAATTACATCACCAATAATAATTTAAAAAAATCATTTCCTCTCAGAACACCACACTTGGCACAAGTAAAAACAACAGAGACAAACAAAAGTTCAGGAGGGTTTAACAAAATAAACCAATTTATATATTTATTTTTGAAAATTTGAAAAAACCAGAAAGGCCCAATGTTTTTTTTTTCTACTAAGAGTAGAAGCAATGCATTACTTTACTAAACGAATCACAAAACTTCAACGAGAGAGAAAAGAGAGGTTTTACCTGAGGAGCGAAGTGCTTATTAGTAAGATTGTGAAGAATGGGTTTCCAATAACCAATACCACCGAATCGGGTTACGGCTTCTTTAACCGATTCAAACGGCGCCGAAGTATCAATCTCCGCTCTGAACCCTTCCATCTTCACCGGTTCGGACCGGTTCACCGCCGTATCCGCAACTTTCATCGAGTGATTCAAACCGTGTAAATGTTCAAAGACAACAATAACAATAAAACGACAAGTGAGGGTTGGTGTTTGGAGTTTGTAAGAGTGGAAGTGGGAGAAACTAAATAGTGAACACAAACGGAAACGGTCTGGTCTAGTCGTGTCGTTCGCTACTTTATCGTGCTGACACCGAAGTCATTGCCTTGATTTTCGAAACTCGTTGGGCCCAGGCCCCACCAAACACCTCAAGCGTGGGCTCTTGTCAACGGTAACAAACGACGTGTATCAACTTTAATTATAAATTCAATTAAATACTTAATAAATCATACTTTATAATATCAAGGTTAATTATTTTAAATATAAATTTAAAGATAATATATATTAAAATAAGATATTTTAAAAAAGTAAATATAAATTTTACCGTTTGTATGATAATTTTTCAAAAATAATAAATAAATTTAAATAGAATCGTAAATAATAATTTCTAAAAAATAATAAAAAATTTTAAACATTAAAAAATGTTATTTATGATTTTTAACATAAAAATCATTAGTGGAAATTTTTTAAATTTTCTATATTTTCATAATTTTCTTAAAATATTAAATTTTGGTAATTTTTTCCATATAAAATAATAATAATAATAATAATAATTATTATTATTATTATTATTATTATTATTATAATTGAAAAGAAAATCTTATTAATAAATGACTTAAAAAATACTGTTTCAAAAATTAATAATTAATTTTTTATTAATATTATGTCAAATTTGTATTCAAAATTATAATAAAATTATAATATAAAAATTATATATATATATATATATGCTTTTTATTTTAATATTTTAATCAATGTACTTAAAATATGGATTAGCAGTTGTCAAAAAAAATTAAGGCTGCATATACACGATGCCAGGTTGAATTTATATATATATATATATATATATATATATATATATATATATATAATTTTTATATTATAATAACAGGTTAAAAAAGAAGGAAATTTGATTTAGTCATTTTGAAAAAGTAATGAAGATTTTATTATAATAATGAGGGGTTATATAACATGTAATGATAAAAAGATGTTATTAAGTCATTTTGAATGATAATGAGGATGTTATATATAACCAAAAGGCGTTATAATTATAACAAAGATTCAGATCAAATGTTATTAAAATATGAAATAAAACTAAGAAAAATAATTTATAGATACTTATTTATTTGTGTGTATACTTATATAAAGATAAATGAAAAAAATAGATGATGTAACAAGATATAAAAAAGAAATAAAAAATATCATAAATATTAAATATGTATTGACATTGTTAGAGTATTTATAAATAAAAACTATAAAATTAATAAAGTATTTGAATTATTTACACAAGCTTTATCATTATTGTGGAAAAGATTAGGATGTCATTCAATCACTTCGGGCAAATTTCATTTTTTTTTACATTTAAGTTGGTTCGTACTTTGTTGGTTTCAAAGTGTGGTTTCCTGGTATTTCATTTTATGGGTTGACTGTTTTTGAATCCACCAACGGTCTATTGGCTTCACTTGGAGTCATTTATTAGACAAAATTTTCATTTACAGCAAACTTTGCTAAGAGAAAAGTCTGTCTTATTCATTTTGGACATAATAAGGTTTGCAAACGAATAATTAGGCTGCAGAGCTGTATTGTCTAACATAACATAGTAGAGAGAGATAAACAAACGGATACCATTCCAATGATGATTTTTTTTTTTCTATACTTCACACTTATTTATAAATAATTTTTTTAATGTGTATTTTTAATACACATTAACAAGTATTAATTTTTTCTTATTAAACAATTATAAAAATACGTACATTAAATATATTTCATAAATTAAAAATAATAAATATTTTTATTTATAATAAAAAATAGTTTAACTTCTTAATATATACTCTTTCTGACATATATTAAAAACCATATTTAATAATTAGTTTTTATATTTAGAACATTTATATTTTAATGTTTATAAAAGTATTTTATTTTATTTTATTTTATTTTTTAGTATTATAATATTATTAAAAACTAAAAAAATAATCTTTTATTAATAGTATAAATTAAAAAATAATAAAATACTTGTATATATAAGGATTAAGACATAAATTTTATATTTATAAAAACTAATTTATAAATGAGTATTAATTATAAAAATTAAATATATATTTTAATTATTTTTATATTTAAAATATATTTTTATAATATTTATATATAAAATAAAAATAATAAATAAAGGTATAAACAATGTTATATATTTTCAGTAGTTTAAATAACCAAATTAATTGTTGAATTAAGTAGCATGCAGGTTGTGAATACCAATTTTTGCTTTCTAGGATTGTCTCCAATTTTTTTAAAAATATATATAAAAATAAAATATAATTATTTTATAGAAAAATATAAAATCTTTGAAAAAAGAGTGGTTCCCAAAAACAGAAGCCTGCACTGTACAAGCTTATACCCTAATATCAAAAACTGATTGTAAGCATGAAAAAGGAAAAGACTTAGATATTTGACATTTTATAGAATCCTAAAAACATGACATCGAAGAGAAGTATAAAAATTCAAGTAAGAAATTCAAAAGGAAGGTTTTTTCTCTGAAAGAAAGTAAAAAAAATAAAAATTAGAAGGGATACAAGTTTTCAAAGAGAGAAGAAAGATTGGAAGAAGGGGAAAAAAATATTTTAGAGAAAAGATCCAAAAAGAAGGGATATGAAGTAAAGAACAAATGTTTTGAAATAGGAGAATATAAAGAAGGAAGAGCAAAAAAAATAAGTGAGCATAAAAAAAAAATAAAGTGGAGAAAGAAATCAAAAGCTAGAAGAAGAGGAAGAAATCACACCATTTATTCTTCATTATCTTCATTTTCGATTCATATCTGGAATATTTACCAACCGCATTCAAGGTATTTTTTTTTCTCCTTTCTTTCTCGTCGCAATAGCACTCGTTTTGCTCTTAACATATTCTATAGTTCTGCAAAATGAATGGAGGAAGAGAGATTGAGTGATATAAGCTACCGAACATTTGTAAGGTTTCATTTTTTATTATTTTATTTATTTTTTTAAATCTTAAATAATATTATTATATTAAAATGATAAAGCAAAAATGACTACTCGTAGGTGCCAAAAATCATTGACACATTTTGCAATTAACCCTGAGCATTAGTCATGTCAAGTCTTAACTTTTGACTCTCTTCTCTTTTTTTCTTTTTTCTTTTTTTTGTTATATCTTAGATTTCTTAATATTCTTTAAAATCTTGGGTTCGGATAAGCCCTATTTTTTTTTAATTAGACATATTCAAGGTCAAAATTTTCTTTTTTTTATTAAGAAAAGAATAAATAAACTTTAATTTATTTTATTTTATTTATTTTTATTTCTCTTTCAAAAGTTGAGGAATTTTAAATTATAGTTGAACCAAGCTAAATGTATCTTTAGTGGTAAATTAGCCAAGTTGTTGGGGTTTATAGTCAGTCAAAATAGAATGGAGGTTGATCTTGTCAAGGTAAAGGCAATCATTAAGATGTTACACCCTCACACCGAAAAAGGTCCATAAATTTTTGGGAAGATTGAATTATATTTTCTGACTCATATGCCAAATATATGCCATTTATAAGTCAATATTCAAGTTATTAACAAAAATCAGCTAGTGGAAGGCTTTCTTACAAGAAGCTTTGATCCTCACAAAAATGGATGAAGAAGGTCTTCCAAGCCTTATCAATTCTGATGTTATAAAAAAATATTATGCTTAAAACAAAAATAAAAAATATATATTAAAAAAAGAAAAAGGAAAATAAAAAAAAAGTAGTTCGCTAGGTTGAAAACCTGAAAGGATGACCTACCCAAAAGTTAAAGCGACCTAGTGAGTTGAAAACTCAAAAGAGCAACTCAAGCAAAAATAATGGTCAACTAAAATTTTATATTACATTGAAAACCTAGAAAAGGAAAATTCATAAGAGATGTGGGCAAAAAAAAAAAAGTTGTAAGAAAATCCTTTATACTAGGGTAATATGATGGAGTGACGCATTAATTTGGGGCAAATTTCATAACGATGAAGTCAAATCTAGCAATCGGCACAGACTGGAGCAATGTGACATGGTAAAATTATGAATTTGGGCAATTTTGAATTGTTGAAGTTGAATCGAGTGAGATATGAGTCTAAAACATCAAACTAGGCCAATTATTTTTGAAAATTTTGTTAATGGGTGGTCAATTTACATGAAAGACTAGGACTGTTCATCTGGAAAGTGTCACTTAAGCAGTATGATACTTCACTATTTTTGTAGTTATTCTAATTCTCTTTTTGATGTATTTGTTTCTTCCATTACTTATGTCGTTGTTTTTTCCATTACTCATTCCATAAGTCTTCTTTGTAAATTAACCATGTCTTCTCCATTATAGTGATTCCATTTTTTTTCTTTTCAAATAATTGTTTCTTGTTACCTTTCATTCAATATGTGTACCACCTCACTAATTCGTTTACTCAAATTTTTCAACAATGTTAACCAACAATTCAATTGTCATTTCAGTAATTATATATTAAAAGGAAGCATGTTAATTGTTGAAAGAGTAATAAGAAAATAATATTACAATAATAGGCTCTAAGAATCTACACAGTAAGTTTGATGAATTTTCTGATAAGTTCAGCGTGACAAAAGAAGTTGACTCTTATGACAATTCAAAAATAAATGACAGTCTAACTTGATTGATGTCTCACCTAGCTCAGATTCCATGAAAGAATTGATCTTAATCAAAGAGCTTACTCATTCATGAACCTTGAGGTGCATGTTCTGACAAGGTTGAAAAATTAAAATCCAAAAAAAAGAAAGAGTTTATTTTAATTTAATGTCTCATCACAGCATTTGACTTGATCATGCAATAACTTCATTCCAAGTGTTAACATTCATCCAGTTTGAGCAATCACATCGTTACATTAGCATGTATTTGTTTTTATCCATTGTCACCTTTTGAAGTTTAATTTAAATTCATTATCAGCCTCACGACCTTTATGTTCAATCCAAGTCCAAGATCTGACTTGGTACTTTACCTTTCAACAAAACTTAAAAGCTGATTGATATCTTTATTTTTCTGTCTTACTTTTACT